TTTTTTTTTTTTTTTTGGAAACAATTTTAAATTTGGTGTGATTTTTCCGTGTTAATATAATAATATGTATTAATCTTCAACGGATTTTTTCAAAATCTCAAATATCATGCAACTGATCACTTCTTCCTTTGTTTGATTGCAAAAATTAAGTTAATAAAAGGTATATAATTTGTTTGATTCAAAACATCCCCTTATATATAATTCTCGAATTTGTTGAGCCTAAGTGGCAGACTCGCATGCTTCGGGATTCTAGGTGTCAATATTCCATGTTTCATCATTTGGCTTGGGTAAATTTTAATTTAATTTCAATTAAAAAATAATTAAGTCTAGATTACCATAAATATGTTGATTATTTATGATCATTGTAGATTTATTAATTGTATTTTAATATCATTTCCTATTAGAAACCATCGAATCGTAAATGTATTTTAAAAGTTGATAACTTTTGAATTTCTTATCGGTTTTACATATATAGTATATCAAATTAATCAACGTTTGATGAGCTTCAAATGACATTCGTGTTCTATGTATAAAGTAAATAAATTGTATTTATTTGTGTAAATTTAATAAAATGATTTATTAATATCAATTAGAAAAATAAAATTATTTATCAATTAATATATTCATGTTTAAAGTAATTATATATTATAAGTTAAAAAAAATATTATAATATAACACAGATAAGTCGCACAAGTATCAAAAGTCTTTTGAAAATATATAATAATATATATTTTTTATAAAAATTATTAAAATTTTAAATAACTGTATTAATTTAAAATTTTAAGAAAAAATTTGACAAACACCTGTGTGATACACGAGTGTTGTACTAGTTGTATTTTATACTTTGGTTGAAATAATATAACGTGTGATGTATTCAGAATGAAGTAAATATCCTAAAGTTGTGGAAACAAACTATTACGACATGATTGATATAATTGAATGAAATTTGGTATGAATTGAATGAATTGAAGAATAGAATGACTATGGAAAATGAATGAAACAAGTCTTTCCATTGAAGTTTTTGATATGCAGAAAGAATAAGATCTAAATAGAATGACATTATCATTTATCACTATTTTATAGAAAAAAAAATCATATTTATATCAATGTTATTTCTAATTTATGATAATTATAAAATTATTTTATTTCTTAAAAAATATGCTATATTTCAATAAATATATTTTTGTAACCCTTCACGTGTCCTTTGTTAACAGTCTATGCTTGACCTATTATGTTGGCCGGACCACTTCCTATTCAGGCTAATTACTTATCATCATGCCCAAGTTATCATGTGCCCGAGCTGTTGGCGAACCTTGTCTGTCCGAGCTCCTTATTATCAGAGTTATAATCATCCTTCAATTATCCGAGCTCCTTAATGTCTGAGCTATAAATATACTTAAGTTGTCAGAGCTCCCCAGTTTCCGAACTATAGATATACCTAAGTTGTCCGAGCTCCCTAGTGTCCAAGCTAGAGACGTGCGCAAACTATCCGAGCTACTTGAACACTCATATTCCAAGACCATCAAGCCTAACTAGTTTTCGATCTAAAAAGAACAAATTGGGAAAGGAACAAACATATATAAATTAGGCGCCATCACAAGCCCACGACCATTTAAATTGCTGTTTTACACTGTCCACCCATTTTTACTTGTCTAAGAATCAGCTCTCCCCTCCAATTTCATCACCACATATTCCTACAGATTACAGAGAAATACAGAATGCAAACCCTAACCCAGATTTTCAGTCCGCGCACTCCTTCTCTCAGCAGCCATGGCACTACATCTAAAGCCCTAGCATTTGCAAGAACACCTCTAAGGTTAAAGGAGAGGGAAAATTTGAGCTGCTGTGGTATGTATGAAAATCTACATTTTATTTGCACTTTGAATTTTTATCTTCTTTTTGTTTGTTTTCGTTTTGTATACTCAAATTTCAGTTTACTTGTCGTAAAATTTGTGCTTGTCAGCTCCCCTTTTTGTTGATTCTAGACAAATTTTGGGGGATTGGGCTAAGAAGGTCAATCGGGCCGTAGTTTCGGCGGTTGAGGAAGGAAACGTGGACGCTGGTGCCTCGAAAAGGAGGTCATCCTTTCTCAGTTTCTCGCTTTAAAGCTTTTTTTTTTTCCTTTTATTTGGTCTGTTCTTTAGTTTTCAGTACCAATTTTATGGATATCTTCATGGGACGTGATTCCTGACTTTTGAATATGCTGTATACTTCTGATCAAGTGCCTTTTACCAGAGTTGTTAAATGAATTGCGCCGAGCGGTTCATTAGTTAACATGCTCGGCCCAATAAAGTCTTAGCCCGAGCTCGAGTATCACGAGCTCGAGCTCGGCTTTGCTAGATTTCAGCTCTAGGTACTGAAGGAGGGGAGGAGGATTTAATCAAGTACTGTTTGGTCTTCACTTTGAGTGAAAAACTACTTTTGTGACAATTGAGTTATGCCTAGTAGCTAATATAGTGCATTTTAGCAACTAATTCTCTATTACGTTTTAATGCTTTTGTTTAGTTCTATTATCATAAGGAAAGTGACTGATAAGATGATCGTGTGAGTTCATCCGGCCCAGAATGAGGTGTCGTACCTCTTTTTGAAAATCATGTTCTTTAGAAGTCTTTTAACTCCAAAGAAAGACTATCATATGAACTTTTTAATCACTACACCTAATTTTTACATTGAATTAATGCTAATAAGAGACTCAGGCTTTTTAATTTTTCCCACCCTGCACCCGAATGCCTATGAGAAATAGTGGTAATGATTGTGCCCATGTAGCATTTAACTTGGTCTTTTACAATAAGTTGTTATTGTACCAAGTATAGATGACACATAATAGGCTTATTTCATGTGGATTTAGCTCTAACACGTGAAAAGTAATAATAACTCCCAGAACCTCCCATTAATTGTTTTCCCTTGGTGAGACCAGTATACGAAACCTGTACTTATGATGATGAATTGCTGTGTGTTCTTAGTAGTTAGAACTAAAGCCTTATAGTAATATTTGCAGAAAAGTTGTTGAACATATATGCCTACTGAAAGCAAAAGAAGATTTGTCCGAAGAGCAAGAGAAAGACATGCTGGATTACCTTTATACGATACAATATCAGTTGCGTGGCATCATAGCCATATCACTAGGTGATCTTAACAATTCTGAATACAAATATACTAGCTTGTGTGCATCATGATTTTCTACTCTGGATAATGGTTTTTATAGACTAGTAAACGTAAACCTGGTAAATTGGCTGCGATGAAATTTCTTTCTTTTTTTTCCAAATCTGATGATGTTTTTTACATGCTAAGAGATGAAAAGGTGATATGTAAGTCACATTGATAGTCGCCTGCTGTACATGTTAGCATGATATTTTCTAATTTATAGGATCTCATGCTCCTCTTTTATATGGCTGCCACTCCATCTGTTTTTTTCCTGTAAGTGTGTTATTCAGCAGATTGGATATGCAATACTTGCAGGCTAAAACGACTGAGTAAATGTTTCGCTTTAGCCCCTTTGAACAATTGACTTGATGGATATGAAATTGTGAATTATGTCTTCTTTTTGGCAGTTTGCATTGACTGTTTGTTTTCATTCTAATTCAAATATCGGCATAACATGACGATTTCATCTGATTGAATTTTTCATCTTTTCTCCAGTAGATTTATGATTTGCTTAGAGTCGTTCATAAAGAATCTCTGTAATCTGTCTTTGGTGATAAATGTGAGACTTATTTCCATACATCTGCCAGAGGTTTACATACCATTATGTGTTAAATATGTATCTATTTGTTTTCATTTTACTGATTAGTTCTTAGTGCCCTTACTTCGTACACTGTTTACAATTTATTTCGTGCAATATTACATTAACAGAAGCATATGTATGTACTCCGTGTGTATTTTTTTGACCGGGTGTTGCATAATCTCTTTTACTGCTCTGAAAGGCACTCTTTTGAATCTTGTAGGACGTATTTCTGATGAAAATTTTGAACAATATACCCATGCTATCTTTATGCGTTTCCAGACAAAAGGGGACCTTGCCAAGTTCTATGAAAACCCTTCATGTATGGCAGTGTTTAAGGAACATGTGATCCCTTACTGCCATGTATGCTCTGAATGACATGTAAACACCAATTATCTCAAAGCCATTTGTTCTTTCAAATCTAGTCTATGGGCATCTTTTAAATTTTAGATCCTTTTTTCCCCTTTTACAGGGATTTATGAATTTGGACTATGAGTCTGAAGTAGAAGATGATATACTTCCGATATTCCGAAAGGGAGAGGTTGGAAGCTTCAACTAGACGCGTTTGTTAAACGTGAAAAGAAGAAAAAAAAAAAAAAAAAGTGCTCCAATTATGTTTTCAGCTGAATCTAATTTTCATGACTTCAATTTTTATCATGCACTGATCTTATTATGCAAAAATCATCTTAAGGGCTTAGGCTTTTCATGACAGGAGTTCAACTATGGTGTCGAGCACATGCTTCTTGTAGATTTTCTAAGGAATTCTCTGGGCGGGCCAGCAGAAGATGCAATGTTTTCTCTCGCAAAATTGACTACAAAATTTCCTTCTTTGATTGTCCAAGCTACTGAAGGTGACTCGTTAGCGAGTATATATTTTTCAAGCTGATACAGTTCAACACGTTTAAATGCTCAATGCTATTGCACTTGAATGTTGATATCATAGTACAGATTGAAGCACTGAAGGATATGGCATACCATTTACCAATACTGATTCTTGTTCATAATAATTCTATGATTATGCTTTAATTCCAGGTCCGAAAATGAATACGAGCAATAAGGAATATACTCATGCGGCTGTAATACGATTTCGGTCATGTGAGAGTTACACGTCTCTTTCAGCACGTTTGTTGATTAACAATTTTAATTGTACAGACACTTGTCACTGTTTTTTTTTTTGCTTCTACCAGCGGAGGCCTTTAAGATGTTCGTGAGCAGCTCGGAATACAATAATGTAATAGAGCTCTCTCTCTCTCTATTTTCTTGTCAAGCATCTTTTTTATTTATCCTTTTGGTTATCTTACTCGCCGCATTATTTTCATTGTTATTCGGATTTCTACGAATGTGATTGTTTTGCTGCTTAAAAAATTTGCTCAAGTGCAGATGTGGGAATGTAAGTTCCAACCAATCATCCAAAAGGTTTTGTCAGTGCAATTTTCTGTAGATCCAATTGGCAAGGAGCTCATGTAGCTGAGGTTAATTTCTTCTATATATGATCCTAATGTATTTTTTCAAATCAGTTGCCTGTGAAACTTTTTTAGTTATCAGTTGCCAAGGGCCCCCCGGCACGGACGAACCCGTTGACCACGGGTCCAGGACCGGACCGGACGACGGGCCATTTCAGGGTCATGAATGACCCGGGTCATTCAATAGCCAATGTAATAAAATTGCTTTGTACATTTACTCCATAGAATTTATTTGATACATTTTTTTAAGATGGTTCGTTCTACTACACCAAACTTAATTTATATAAAATAAAGAAAAAAAATAAAAACTTATGTGCTAATTAAATAAATTATAAGTTGATTTATGGTGTCAACACTCTTAATTTGTATAACATAATTTAATTCTATTCCCCTTCTTGGATTCTCAAAATGCCAGCATTTTGACTCCAAAATGAGATTCTTGTTAAAAAAAAATGACAAATTAGTTATTAGTTTCTTAATGACAACAAGTGCCAAGGCTTTGGCCCGCGTTTAAGGCTGGCCCCATCATTAAACTAATCTAATCTACGTTAACAGCTCCTTGATGAGGATGAGGCTTAATAATTCAACATTAACTAATGTTAATTATTCTATTGATTTGACTTAGTTTAGATCCGCTGCATTAATCAATTTATATATATATATATATATATATATATATATATTAGGCAGCGGCCAAAATGATCTGCCCTTATTCCTTTCGCAACATTTTTTGAAAGCACAAATTTATAATCTGTATAAATATATATTGAAAAACCAATATGTTAAAAAAATATGTTTAATATGACTTCAGTTCCAGAAATTCACAGTTTAGAGTAGATGTGGCCATTTGGCGGCCCGGGTTGGGATCCGACCCATCCCGAGGGTCGCCGGGCCTGAAAACAGCTACTCGAAACCGGCCCAGATGTAGGTACGAGCCGGTTTGCAATCCCAGTTGGTTCACTGACCCGGCGGTTTGGGATCGGCCAATTTCAGAGAAAAAAAAAATTGAACGTCTGGCCCGTCTCTAGGCCGAAACCTATCCATTTGTAGCACGGGTTCGATTCGATGACTCATGCATACGGGCCGGTTTCGAGCTGACCCTGGCCACCTCTGGTTTAGACATTAGAGAGTCATTTATGATAAGATTGTTAAGGCCCTTTTGGCCTCACATATGATGCCATTATTGATAGGTAAAGAATTATTATTCTCGAGAACAAAGTTTTATTCAGGTCTGTGAAGTTGAATTTTGTCAATAATTTGAAAGCAACTGTTTGGTTGTTTTGTGTGTGGATAATTAAATGTTGAGAGAGATAGGCACACAAATTGCTCTTAAACAATCAAATTGGTCGAAAGCCAAAATAATAGGAAAAAATAAAAAATAAAAAAGTAGTATTTACAAATACTCCTATGAAGAATTGTTATCTACCTTTTAAATTAAATATATATAATAATTTAGGGTGCCATTTGTAACCCAACAAATCCTGATAGATATTAAAAATAGTCATATATTCTGAACTTCCAATTATCACAAAAATGATTAAATAAATAAAAAAGAAAGAAATTAGAGAGAGAGAGAGAGAGAGAGAGAAAAAAAAAAACCAACATATATTCTTCATTTATGTGGTAATTAATGGTAACTAAAATAAAAAATCAACTGTACATTCTGTATACATTCTCTATGAAAAAAAAAAACACAATTTTCTTGAAAATAACTATACTATCAAAACATCAAGTATATATACACTCTTCCACAATTGTAAATAAAACGATTAAAAGATACACTACATATAAAAACTCAATACCCAAAAGACAAAATAACAGATTATTATATATAATGGCTGCAAAAAAACTCTTGCTGTAATGAATAAAAAAAATATATATATGCATTATTCAGTTGTGTAATGGGTTTGGCCCTTGAGGTACTGTTCGATACGAAACTCGGTAATCTTCGCTTCGATTGCTCGATTCTTTCGGAGCCTGTGCTGGAAATTTGTACCATGTGAACTGCTGTGATGAAGAATTTGCTGATGATGAGTTCTCTTCGTGATTCGACTCGCGTAGATTCCGGCAGCTCGTGAGTCGGCTAACGGCTAAAACGATCACGATAATCGTTATAAAGCAGATTTTTTGAGAATGGAATTTCATACTCTGTGATATATTTTTTTCTTTTTTTCTTTTTGCTAGTTATGTTGTTGAAGAATATGATGGTGAGCAAGAACAACTTCTTTGGGCACACAAAAATGAGCCTATAATATAAGTCAATGGATCTCACGTGGTGGAATGACAAGAATGCCCCTTTTCAGATTTGTGTGTGAAAAAAAAAAAAAAAGAAAAAAAGAAAAAGTTTGGCTTTGTTTTCACCAAAAGTCTACAAACACGTTTGGGTAAGTTGGGGGGAGTGTTGTTTATTTATTGTGGCCATTACTGTTGACTATTTTGTGCATTTGAATTTCTTGTATATATGATAATGTTGTACCTTTTTTATTATTAATTGTATTTTTTTTTTTAAATGTATAGTATATGAGTATTGATGTGCCATGTTGCATATATTATATTTCGTTAGGCTATGTGCCAGAAATTTATTTTGAGGGGGACTCTATATTTTTTAATAATCATAGATTTAATTTAATGTAAATAGAAAGTTGTATTATAAAATAAATATATAATAACAGTGCAGAATAAATTTTAAGTTTCAAACTTTGGCAGTAACAAATTTCGATTGAACGTTCTTTCTTGAATTTCATTAATGATTGACTCACTACTAATAGTTTTGATATTCTTTTTTTTTCCATTAAACATGTTTTATAGGGTCTTGGTTTTGAAAATTTACCAATTTTTGTGTTTTCAGATATTTTATCATGCATTAAATTTATTTAAACTAGAAAAAATGTTATGCAAAAGTGTAAGAATGTCACTGAAATATTAGTAGAAAGAGTAATACAGTTATTATTTTAATATAATTGCATGAATTTATATAAAATGATATACTTATCATATATATATATATATAATAATAATTTAAATACAAAAAAAATCTAGCATAAATTCAGTTCATATTAATATTCACAAGTAAAAAACCTAAATGGCTTTAGGCTTGACCAATTTATGTGTAGAAATTAATCTCAATATGTTGAATGAAAATATTCAACAATAACTGAAGAATAATTCCTTGAGTTCAATTTGGGTTGTTATAGTGTCACTTCATTTAAGGAGTCCAAAGTACTTAATAATTATTAATTAGCAATTTAAGTGGATTATTGGTACTGAAAATTTAAATTAAATAGTCATATATTACTATATTAGGGTAGAATTAAAATGGTGAGAATCTTGTGAAATTCAAATCAGATTCCAACATATAGTAAATGAAAGTTCCATACAAGTCTCCCAACTACCACAGCACACCAAGGGAGAAGAAACTTCATGCAGCACACCATGGAAGAACAAAGAATGAAGAAGTCTTCAATGGAGGCATCCACCAACCCTTCTCATTCACATACATTTGTCAACAATCGTGTCCTTGCTCATGCCTATAAATAGTCTTGTCATTTCATTCATTCAAATCATCCTTGAGAGTGATCAATCAACCTTGAGAGTGTTGAAACACAACCAAGAAAGAGTTGTGGAGTGTTCGAGAGTTTTTTGTTTAGAGTTTGTAAATCTCTTGTTTTTATTCTTGTGAGTAATAGAAACTTATTTTTCTCTCAAATTATGTTTTTGATCTTGGGATGATACCACAACAGTAAACAGGATATATATGATTGGGAACACCGAGCACAGGACAAAATTACGTATTAGGCTATGTATTCAAATAAGCACGATTTGGTAGAACGGACTTTTTTAATAAGCTCGAGGTTATTTGATAAGTTTTTTAAGGTAATTTTTCAAATAAACTCGTTAAAATTTTTATTTCAACTAACTTATCAGCTAATTTTACCACACTTTTATCGTATAAGCTAACTTTTCAACTATAAATTATAAGCTCGAAAAATACTGATAAACTATAAATTAACTTATCAACTATCAGATAGCTTGTCAGCTTTACCAAACACAACCTTAATTTTGTACCATAAATGAAAAGAAACTAAATTTGGTTTTTTTTTTAGACAAAAAAAAAAAAGGTTTTGTTTACCACATAATAAAATATTATAGTCTTTTCATTAGAGAAACTTATGTTAAATAAACATTTTTTTTTTTTCAGCAAATAAAATATTATATTAACAATAATATATATTAATAATATGAAATTTGGGTCATTTTGTGCATTTGCAAATTGGACACGCCCCATTAATTATCTGTTTTCTATGTTTCTACCTAACTAAGATCTCAATATTTGGAATAATCTTCAGATATATTCCTTCAGTAAGGGGGTGATTGTTTACCATTTGTACAGTAATTTTTTTTACTCAAATTCAAATTTAACTCAACTTTAACTCAACCACACTATCTCCAATATTATTATATAATTAAATAACATCAACAAATTATTATTACATATCACATCAACTTTAATTCACTATTCATCTACTCACATAATTTAACTAATTTTAACTAACTATCACTTCCAATCATTTTCTCTTACTTTTACATCAAATCAACTTTAACTATTTTATTTTAAATACTATTTTAATATATCCACAAAAAACTAACCATACCACTTTTTCTTAAACTAAACCATAATTAAAAAATTCTAGATTTTTTACTATTCAAAACATAAACAATCACCCCCTAAGTCATTACTTACGGATTTTCATTAATATTTTACTGAAAACTTTTGTCAAAAAAAATAAAAATAAAAATATTTCACTTTTTTTTTTTTTTGTTTTTTAATATTTTGACCATGATAGGCCTTTTGATTTTATAACACACCAAAAGGAAAATTTATCGCTCTCTATGCAACTTTATTTCTTTTCACAGTGATCAACTGAAAAATGTGCTCGTGGATCGTTGACGAAAGGTTAATTAAGATTGCATTTCAACATTTTATATGTTAACTTTTGATTTTAAGATTTAATTTTCAGAATTTAAAGTTACATTTCGTGTGGAAAATTATAGTCCCTAAAATTAAATTGACATCTTGCATAAATGTGGGATCACGGGTGAATGGCACAAATTCAGGGAAAGCCCAGAGAAATGTGTGGGATTACGGGTGAAGGTCACAAATACAGGGAAAGCCCAGAGAAATGTGGGATTACGGGTGAAGGTCACAAATACAGGGAAAGCTCAAA